AGTTAACGTGCTGTCACACACACATTTATGTATCGCGTTAACGTGCTGTCACACACACACATCCACCGCTCGCCTTCCACCGCGTGGTCGACATCCTGCACAAGAACTCCGCTCCTCCCAAGGTAGGCCGGTGTGTGAGCGCCATCTTATGTCCACCTGGGTCCACTGCAGTGAAGTAGAGTCGCCGTTACTTAAACGATACCAGGACGAGTGTCGGCGATGAAGACGGCATTGTCGCTGTTTCACCGCACGACGTCGGCCAGTAACGCACACACACATCCATGTATCGAGTTAATGTGCTGTCACAGACACATTCATGTATGGAGTTAACGTGCTGTCACACACACATTCATGTATGGAGTTAACGTGCTGTCACACACACACATTCATGTATCGAGTTAACGTGCTGTCACACACACATCCATGTATCTAGTTAACGTGCTGTCACACACACACATTCATGTATCGAGTTAACGTGCTGTCACACACACACATTCATGTATCGAGTTAACGTGCTGTCACACACACACATTCATGTATCGAGTTAACGTGCTGTCACACACACATTCATGTATCGAGTTAACGTGCTGTCACACACACACATTCATGTATCGAGTTAACGTGCTGTCACACACACATCCATGTATCGAGTTAATGTGCTGTCACACACACATTCATGTATGGAGTTAACGTGCTGTCACACACACATTCATGTATCGAGTTAACGTGCTGTCAGAATCCTGGTCCACATGAATCCACACAACAACAACACAAGTTAGTGTGAATGACATGGTGTGAATGAGGACGTGAGTTCTCGCTGACGTCTGGTCTTTGATTGACAGGTCCTTCAGGACTACGTTGGGCTGGTGGACGACGCCCAGCTGCGGCTGTCGCTCGCCCACAAACACAAGTGTCACGACATCGTCATCAATGTAAGTCGATGACATCATCACCGTGCGACTCGACGCGTATGTGTTCGTGGGGGTCAAACCTCACGGTGGTCTCCTGTTTGTTTGTTTCCTGTGATGTCATGCTGTTTGGACCAATCAGACGTACAGAGACCTGAAGGACCGGCAGCTTTTACTGGGATACAGAACAAAGGTGGAGGTGGGGTCAGAGGCCGACTCCAGGATCAGTCAGCTGCTGGACAACCCGGTGAGTGGGCGGAGCTTGGGCGCCACTGTGTGTGTGTGTGTGTGTGTCACAGCTCGTGACTTTATTTCTTCTCCTTCAGCAAATCCGTTGGAAGAATTGATGGACGCAGCAGCCACGTCCAACGTCACGGCAAAAAACACGGGAATGAAACGATGACATCATCACTTCTTTTAGATTCTTTTATTTTGTTACAAACAGTAGTGTTGACTCCGCCCACTCCTCAGTTCTTACATAATATTCCAGACTTTTCTTCTATGATAACATTAAAGTTGATGTGACGTAAAGATTCAAACAAATCATTCAGTGTTTTTACCTCCTGTCTGCTCCCACAGCCAATCACAAGACAGCAGCTGCAGCAGGGGAGGGGCTTAGACCTGGGGGAGGGGCGTGGCAGCAGTTCAAATATAAACACATTCTAAAAGCAGCAGAAGAAATACTGTCCAATCAGATCCAACGTTAGGTCCAGCTTTTGTGAGGTGTGACCCGGGTGGGCCGGACCTCAGGGCTCAGAGTCCAGACTGTCCAGGGTCACATGACTGCAGTGAGGGGAGCTGGGACTGGGGGGCGCCGAACTGTTGGATGGAGTCGAGTGTTTGGTCGAGTCTGAGTCCAGCTGGGAGGGAGAGACGTATGGTAACATTCAGTTCATTGATCAGTTCATTGATCATTGATCAGTTCATTGATCATTGATTAGTCCATTGATCAGTCCATTGATCATTGATCAGTTCATTGATCATTAATCAGTTCATTGGTTATTGATCAGTTCATTGATCAGTTCATTGATCATTGATTAGTCCATTGATCATTGATTAGTCCATTGATCATTGATTAGTCCATTGATCATTGATTAGTCCATTGATCATTGATCAGTTCATTGATCAGTTCATTGATTATTGATCAGTTCATTGATCATTGATCAGTTCATTGATCATTAATCAGTTCATTGGTTATTGATCAGTTCATTGATCAGTTCATTGATTATTGATCAGTCCATTGATCATTGATCAGTCCATTGATCAGTCCATTGATCATTGATCAGTCCATTGATCAGTCCATTGATCATTGATCAGTCCATTGATCAGTCCATTGATCATTGATCAGTCCATTGATCAGTCCATTGATCATTGATCAGTCCATTGATCAGTCCATTGATCATTGATCAGTTCATTGATCATTAATCAGTTCATTGGTTATTGATCAGTTCATTGATCAGTTCATTGATTATTGATCAGTTCATTGATCATTGATTAGTCCATTGATCAGTCCATTGATCATTGATCAGTTCATTGATTATTGATCAGTTCATTGATCATTGATCAGTCCATTGATCAGTCCATTGATCATTGATCAGTTTTCTCACCTCTTTGTCCACATTCTGATCTGCATCCCGAGACAAAGGTCCACTCCCAAAATCTGGAAAAGTTTGTAACCAAGAACTGAGATGACATCACTGATGGGTAAGTGTGTGTGTCAGTGTGTGTGTGTCAGTGTGTGTGTGTGTGTTACCTGAAGTTGTGCGTGTGATGTGTATTTTTCTCTGCTGGCGAGAAATACTGGAAAGAGGGCGGGGCTTATCTGTGATGGGGTCGTCTTGAGATGATGTCACACTCTGCACACACATACATGTTTTACTGTAGTAGTGTAGACAGGTACACGGAGGTTGCAGTACTGTGAACAGTTAAACACATACATCACCTGAGTACTGCTGAGTAATGACCTTTATTGGCACAGGACCAGTATTACAGTATCAGTACTGCACTGGTACTTCACTAGTATTCACTGGTACTGAGGGCTGAACTGACCTGTCTCTGAGTTTGACACACAACTACTGTGGTCCCTAACAGGACATGAGAGAGTGGAGGAGGAGGAGGAGGAGCAGGAGGAGGAGGAGAAAGACCGTCCTACCCTTCCCAGAGAGGACATGGAGAAAGAGGAGGAGGAGGAGGAAGAGAAAGGCTGCAGGAGGCTCTGCTGCGAGGAGGAGGAGGAGGAGGAGGAGGAGGAGTCTTTCTGCATGAAAGCATCGGCCGACACCGGGGTCATGTGATAGATGTGCTCAAAGTTGGAGGGAGAAGAGATGAAGGTGTGAGGGGAGGAGAAGGGAGAGGGGGGAGTGACATCACCAACCTGAAGAATCAGGGGGGGGGACAAGAGAGCAGGAGGGGGAGTCAGAATAGAGTGGTCAGAGGAGAGAGGGGGCGGGGCTTAGAGGAGAAGGTGTGTTTACCACAGGCAGGTCCATGAGCGCCTGCATCCCGTCCCCGGGGCCCATGTGGGCCACATGATTGAAGTTGGTGGGCTTTGAAATCATCCTGGACCTGAGCTCCGGGTCCCTGAGCATCTCCCTGAAAACAGCAGTCATGTTGAGCCACGTCTGCTGAGTCGTGTGTGCGCCGAGTCACGCGTGGAGCGGCGCCGACTCACCTCCTCTGCTGCAGACGCTCCTCCTCAGGAACTTTGAAGAGGAACTTCCTCTTGCTGCGGGTTCGGACCATCAACTTCCTGCTCTGCTCCGAGGTCTCCGGGATGGTGAGGACGGACTCTAAGGACGGACGGGAGAGGAGGAGACGGGTGAGGACAGGAGAAGACCAGCTGAGTCTGGGCCTCAGTTGGACCTGGTACCTGAGGAGAAGTTGCTGAAGAAGATGAGTCGTGGAGGTTCTGAGCTCAGCAGGTTCAAGGTTCCTTCAACGTTCAAAGGTCGGATCTGAGGAGAACCGAGAAGACCAGAGGCTGAGACCGTCCTCCTCTGTGATTGGCCGCCTTCGCATGGTGACACATCTACTTACCTTCCTCAGGGAGATGGTCTGGACCCACTCCGTGGTGTGGATGTCAAAGATGTCCACCCCGTAGTCGGTGTAGACCGACAGGTGGGAGGAGTTTGAAGCTGTGTAGACGGAGAGACAGGGACAGTCAGGGTCAGTCTCAGAGACCACCCACATCAGTCTACTCTAGTCTGACCCCTGCTGGTTGTTCATGGCCCTTTAATGAGATGGGAGCGCCCCCCGCCCCACAGGAAACTGTCATGTCTTGGTCATGGTTGACACCTACTGCATGCGTGTGGCGTGGCGGGCCACATCAGCTCCTGGGTCCTGGAGCGCCGTCCTTGTTGGTCCACGTAGACGCCAAGTTGACTGAAGCACAGCAGGAGTTCAGTGGCCCCCACCTCCAGGGCGTGGAGGGCGTCCAGAGGCTGCTGGGACAGGAAGGCCAGAGACGGGTCTTTGGGACTGACCAGACTGACGGGGGACGACTCCCCCTGCAGGGCAAGTAGAGCGAAACCAGACGGATACCCGATGCAGAGACGTTCCCAGATCATTCCGAGCCACTGTACGACACCCGGCGCCTGCACCTCCCACAGCCGCCGATGGTGCGGTCGGGTCGGTACGATCTCGTAACACTGGACCTGGAGCAGAGCAGACGAGAGCCGAGGTTCAGGAACAGGGAGGGGGCGNACAGCAGCTAGCAAACAGGAGGGGCCTCCGGGCCGCAGCACCCCGGTGGTCAGAGCCTGGCAGCCTTTGGTGTCGGTCAGTTTGATGTCAAAAACAGGCTCCGCCCCCTCCAGGGCGGCCCACGGGTGGAGGTGGACGTGACGGTTTCGACCACAGAGCAAAGCAACGATTTTCTCTTTTGGGATCAGATCGACCTGATGAACCTTCTTACTGTCCACCGCCCTGACGATCACTGCACACACACACACACACACCACACAAGTGGGTCAGACCAGGTGACACCACCAGGTGACACCACCAGGTG